GCAATTGACCAGCATGGGGGACTAGGTCCTAAATCATCTTTACGAAACCCATGCCAGCTAAGCAATACTAAGCATAACTCTTAACAATAGAACTGAGATCAAGGCTCAGACTCAATGCCAGCGTATATTGAACCGAAGTGAGTTTAATAGGGTCTGACAGATTCCGAACGCACTTTGCCCGCGTTCGCTAAGATTAATGATGCAGACAGTCCATTACTTAGGAGAGATATGTAAAGCTAACACTTGGAAAAAACACTCTCGATGCATATTTACAATTTGATTATAATTTCTGCTTGATATTTTTTAGTGTTCAATATAATATTAGATCATATAAGTTGCTTGCGTCAAGCTTGGCATTTCAAATTTAAATTCAACTATACTGCTACCGATAAGAATGGAGTAAATTCCAAAGTGTCAAGGTTTATATGCTTGTGATTGTACAGTATCCGATGGTATTTGTCGGATTCTTCCTTATGCTATTGAGATGTTCACTTATATTAGTCATAAAAACACACATATTTGTAAATGTGAAGCAGCTCTCGATAGTGTTCGAGTCAATTAAATCGCAACATAGACCGTAGAAGTGGGCGTGGTCAAAGATCCCCCAGTTCAGCGTATATTGTTCCAGATTCTCCCTTATAGCACGCCCTTTTGGCGGAAATGTCAAGGAGTATCCTGAGCTGTGGTCCGTATACCACTGAGCGCCCTTAGGACCACTATTTTATTTAATATTTACTAATCTTCAGCACGCCCTATTGATCAGTAGCACAGTCAAAGTTATCAACAGGCAACTTTGCCTGAAAGGTCTTGTAACAAAAAAGTTAGGTACCATTACATCGCAATAAACTGGGCTTTTTGTTAACCCTGGATTTTATTGTCTGCCTACAACCCTGAGAGAGCCATTACGCCTGAGGTGTACTTGGCGATTTGTGAACTTTGAATGGTTACTAAAGTTGGAAATTTAAGCCAGTCGTTCAAAATTTCTACTAAATTTCTACAACAGTTTATAGTTTATTTTTAAACAGAACAGTTGGCAGCTTGATTAAACAAACCAATATTTTAAACTCAAATAACGTCTTTAGACATCTAAAAAAGTACAACTCTTATTTATCTATCTAAACTAAATTACTGCGTCACCGCGTATGGGTCCTGTGTTACAAAAAAATCCCAAAAATTGATTCAGCGTGTGCAAAATGCCTGTGCAAGATACTGTTTTAGAATACCACCACGTACCCATGTCGCGCCATATCTTCAATCTTTTAAAGTTTTAAACATGAGCGAACGTCAAAACCTATACACTGCGACTCTGCTATTTGGGATCATAAAGAACCAAGTACCATCTTACCTTTATAAAAAACTAAAATGGCGTTCAAATAGACAAGTCATGCCGTTTAGAACGTGCGTCCCGCCGCTCATTGTTCCCACCCATAAAACGGCTGCTTTCCGTGGTTGTTTCAAATACAATGCGACCAAAATATGGAATGACATACCACCCCCCATTAGAAATCTTACCTCAATCTACTCTTTTAAATTTTCATTAAAAAATATTCTACAAAATAATTTCGCGAGTATTTGAAACAGACGCCATAAGTTCAAATGAAATAAAATCAAATAAAATAAATAAATAAAAAATAAAATAATGTTATGTTATTTTAAATAAAGTTATAAAAATGAAATTAATATGGTAGGCCGTATCTAGTATTGGCAGCGAGCGTAGTTAGCGAATACATTTGCGGTAGCGCATATAGTTGTCACATTAGATTGTAAGTATTCCGTTTTGTTATTTTTTGGATGACGGTAGAATTTTATTTGTTTGTTTTTATTTGTTTTTTATATGTGTATTGTATGTGTGGTGTGCATGTGTATACGTATATATTATTTTGTATTATATTATATTTCATATACAGTTAATATCATAATTATAATTATATTCATACACACTGACACAGTTTCAATTCGTTAATATAAATCTTCTCTTTTTTTTACCGGCTCGTTTAGGACCTTTTTTTTTTTTAGCAGACTCACCAGCGTCCTAGTTCTACTGAGCTGCGACATAATGCTGAGTTGGGTCCTTTTTGCTGGCACAGTACACGCAAATCTACACTCCACACAATATAACACTCCACATCAAATATAGACTAGCTTGTTTTTCTTTTTTATTATTATTTTTTAATTCTACTATTGTACCTTTGTTGTAAGTTTGTTTTTGTAATGTACTGTGTTTCGGCAAATAAACGAATTATCTATCTATCTATCTTATTTAGAAAAATTCTTCTATCCGGTACATGGCTGAGTGAAGAAAAGACTTTCATAGTTTAAAACCAAAAACGAAGATCTGCAGCAAGCATATTATGTAGAAATTCATAAGGTCTGCTGACTAGTTTCATAGCTTAGTTGGGAGAGCGATATTCCGCATTTGGCGAAAATGTCACTGGTTCAAATTTAGCCGCATCGAAGAAATTTATCTTAGAGTTCGTTCGATATTTGTATAAAACATCAAACTAATCCACTTTTTTATTTCCAGAAAAAAAAGAAATACTACAATACGACTCTTTATCGTCTACAATGCAGACCAAAACCATTTATGATACAATCAACAATTTTAAATAGGCCATCTGTAAAAATATTTTGAAGTATTCAAATGAATACTGTTGCACTTTTGCAACAACAACAAAAATAACATTTCGTTCGTTCTGTATAAAGAGCTTTACTGTGACATATCACACAAACCAATACCAATAAGGAAACAGTCATTAAAATTTCTGTCTCTTCTTATTTGCTTCCCCACTGCTGGGGATCGTGACTCCCCGTCAACCTGCCAATTATCTATCTACATCGGTTGCGCTCAGTCGCCTGGTGGAGAGCGACCTTGAAAAGTTTTAGTTTTTAGTTTTAGTTGTTCGAGATCTGATCCGACCACCGTTCGGAACTCCAGCCTATAGGCATTTCTTTCGCCTTCCCTGTCACCATCTAACACTCCAGGTTATCTGCATCTCTACGTGGAACGTGACCAAAATAGCGTATCGTACACTGCATGCCGATTGAAGACAAGACGCTGTGCATTCTATGTCTTGAGTTCCTCAAGTACAGAAATATTAGTGCGGCGGGATGTTCACGGTATTCTTAACATTCGGCGCTAGCACCACATTTCAAAGGCGTCAGCGTGATTTTCATTTAGTGACAAAATTGGTTACCAATGTACGTATTTTCTGGCTCCTGAAACACTTAATCCAAATCACATACAAGGCGTTCACTTTAGGTCGACGACATAGGAAGTACGATATACAAAGTATAAACGCACTAAGAGATGAATACAATGACATCTACTAAACATATTCATGTATAACCCACACTGCATCTCGAAATCCGCCTTTGCCGTCCAAGTGCATCTATTACGTATGGCTGAAAGAGCCGGGATGTAGTTGAAAGCGGACGCTGCGTCAGATCCAGCTACAATTTCTCACAACACTCGTCTATATCTCAGCACTACAGACTATGTGGTGCAAGTTATAGGATTTTGTTTGAATGGTGAAAGAGTCTTTACTGTGTGACGGTGTGACCTCCTTACATCGTCATCCCACCTTTTTATCGCCTTTCTCCGGTTCCTGGCCACTCGTATTTCAATTTAAATTTTGAATTGTACCATTTTGTTCTTTTGCCTCGCATTCTGATTTTGTTTCGTTCCATTGTCACTTCCTACTCAATCGCGGCAGCGAACACGTCTTCTCTTCTAATTTTTTCGAGCCGTTTACCAGTTACTAAAAATTTCTTGTACGATAAACATTTTAAATATCATAAGTATTGTTAAAACTAGAATAAATATTAATAAAACTGGCTTTATTACCACTACTTCTTTACCATTTTGAACTTTTAACTTTAAACTTACTAAGTAAGAGGTTGCGGAGGCTACTAACTACATTCTACATTACAACCAACAGAGAACTCCAGCAGCACCAGTAGCGCCCTCACACTGGCGCCCGAAAAGGGACTTCATGAACGTGGAGAGACGTATGGAAAAGGTTGAACCAAGTGTACTATACCTCGACCAAATTCAAGACGGCCTTAAAAGAGGCCAGATCAAAAGCACCAACAATAAACGGGCATGTTTGAAAAGATGAGTGAAGGAAGCGAAAGATGTATGTCAGGAAAGTCAGAGACAGGCTAATTATTATCTTAAAATAAAGGAATAGAGCTTACATTAAATAAAGACTGACAGCCTGACACCTCTTAGAGAGTGATGCCTCTTACCCTCTCCAACTAGTCTAAAATAAATAGAAGTCAACTGTTGAGTGGCAGATGCTTTAGTAAATTGTACATAATAACATGAATAATATAGAAGTAAAGCAAAAAATGATTAGCTATTTTACCTAAAATTAAATAAGTTATTTATACCATGCTCTGGGGTATCGGGTCCACGCCGTTGGCAGTATTTCGCCTTTGTATGGCTATGCTCCTTTGGTGGAAGTAGATAACTAGCCTTCTGGTCACTGGAAGCTTCAACGTGGCGGACTGATTAAGATTTTCACCTGTGGCCTCCAGAACCACAGGGATTTTACAGCAAAAGGCACAAACCTGTAGCAGGAACCATTAAGGAGTTTTTTTTTCTATACAACATGTAAATATACGTACTACTTTCTTTCGTGCTCTTATTCCTGAATGTTTCTTATTACGATAGCTTATTCTTTGACGAAATTAATCACCAGCTGGTTGTCAGAGGTTTCGTGAGGCTTTATCTATGAGGATGGAAAAAATAAAGGTCTAAGGGCTTTATTTATTTTACGCCATTTGACATTTAACCCAGATATGCCTACCGTCCCATATTTAGAACATCAACTTTAAAAAAATATCTCATTCTACCCTCATTATATTTATGTCAAATGCAACTACGTTCTCAAAGGTTAGGAGCAACACAACTAAATTACATCGCGATTGCTTATTTCTACAAATAATTAATATTCTTTAATTGTTGTTAAACTCGTCGAAATTGTGAATTATAAAACATGTCAAGTAAAAGGTGAGTACTTAGATCAAATAAAATGCTTAGTGTTTTTTACAACTATAGTTTTTGTTCGTGGATTGCTTGGTTATTATAAATATTCAATAATAACTTAGTTTTAATAACTTATGCATATATTTTTTGTGGTGAATATGTTAGTGTACTATATGTAGGACAGTAGGCTTATACACGGTAATTTATTGATTTGTAGACCCTTGGCGGCTCACGAAATATTAAGTATTCTGGAGGAGGGTGACAGCGAAGATGATCATCGTGAACGTTTGTTAACCATTCTACCGCCACCAGTGAATGTCAACTGTCCCACTGATGAAGATTCAGGGGATGAAGACCAGGTTTCTGTAAACAATTTGCCAAGAAATATTTTGTTACAACCTGCTTTGTTAACTGTTCGTGGCGAAGTTTCCGATTCGGACGATGAACCGGTGGAACCTCCAGTAAAACGGAAGAAAATCAGATATTCTTGGAAGAAGCAAGATCTGGTCAAACCTCAAATAGAGTGGCCTTGTATCCAAGGAGCTGCCCAAGAAAAGAGTCCATTGGAGTGGTTTGAATGTTTTTTCGATGATAGAGTGATCACGTTATTGGTTACTGAAACTAATAAATATGCTGTAAAAAAAATCAACTAGGTGATATTACTGCTGGAGAAATAAAATGCTTTATTGGAATTTTGTTAGTGAGTGGCTATTCATGGCATCCACGAAGAAGAATGTTTTGGGAAAATTCTCCTGATAGTAAAAATGAATTGGTTTGTTCGGCAATGTCCAGGGACCGGTTTGAGTTTATTTTCCGCCACCTCCATGTAAACGATGACTTGAATCCAGATGATAAGTACACTAAAATAAGACCTATTCTTTGTCTGTTAAATGAGAGGTTCTTAGCTTTTGCACCTGTGGAAGAACATTACAGCGTTGATGAAGCTATGATCCCATATTATGGTAGGCATGGATGCAAACAACACATCAAAGGTAAGCCTATTCGATATGGATATAAGTCCTGGGTAGGAGCTACCCGGCTAGGATATGTCTTGTGGATGGAGCCATATCAAGGAGCAACTACATTGTGTAACCCCATTTATAAAGATTTAGGTCTTGGAGCCAGTGTAGTGTTAACCTTCTGTGATGTACTTACTTCCCGTGGTTACAATCTTCCATATCATATCGTTATTGACAATTTTTTCACTGGAACACCACTGCTGGAAGAAATGACAAAAAGAAGATTTCGTTGTACTGGAACAATCCGGGAAAACAGGACAGCCAGTTGCCCTCTTATTGCATCTAAGCAATTGAAGAAAAAACAAAGAGGGTCTATAGATTACAGAATTACAGACGACAATAAATTCATCATCGCTAAGTGGCATGACAATAATATATTCAGCATTGCATCCAATTCGGTTGGGTTGAATCCTATGCAGCCTGCAAAGAGATTTTCCCAAAGTGAAAAAAGGAATATAATCATTGAGGAGCCGCGACTTGTGTCTATTTATAACAAGTATATGGGTGGGGTGGATCGCTCAGATGAAAATATTTCTCACTACAGAGTAGGCATCAGGGGCAAGAAATGGTATACGCCACTACTGACTCACATGATCGACTTGGCAGAACATAACGCTTGGCGATTATATAAAGACAATAACGGCAATTTAGACCACCTTGGCTTTCGTCGTCGAGTTGCAACTGCTTTGATTGAAATCAATCGAGAAAAATCAAAAAGAGGACCCAGTAGACCGTCTGTGAATGAGCATGTTGATTCTCGAACGGATAATAAAGGGCATCATGTTATCCCTCAAAGCAAGCAAACTCGATGCCGCAAATGTCACAAGAAATGTTTGACTCGCTGCAAGAAATGTGATGTTGGTGTTTGTGTAAAATGTTTTGATGATTATCATACTAAATAATTGATAAATAAGCTAACTACCCCAACTTTTTCTATACTTTTTTACTTTAAAATATAATCAAAATAAACCTACCTAATTATAATTATGACGATTTCCGTACTAAATTACCTTACCTACCTTACGTTCTACCTGTACGCCTACTGTCCCATATATAGGACAGCATTTTCCGGGAAAACGGGAGAGAATTTTTTTTTTTTACTATTTTTACTATGTACAATAAACTATTTTAATTCATATATTTAACAAAAAATAATCACTTTTAAAATAATATAGTTTCAGGTATATCTGGGTTAAATATGACTGTAATAATAGTTGTTTTTTTTTAATATGAAGGCTCCTAGAATGATATATAAATTACTTGTTAATGGTTAACCAAGGCATGACAGGTTTTTTTTTATAAAAAAAAGTTCGCATGTGACCTCTGTGTCACGTGATGAATAGTGACCAAGACAGTGAGCTTACAAGTATAATATCATTGGACCAAGAGGTCGACGATGTAGCATGAAGACCTTAATACCACCTATTTACGGCCACCAAGAAAAACCGCAAGTAATAGTACTCAGAAAACAAGGCTGCAGGCATGGCATTTCACTCCATAGCCGTTCGCTATATAAATGTGGAAGCATTTAACGCTTCACGCGAATCTTTGGAACATATGTTCCATTTCATTCCTTCTTCCCATTTCCATTTCGGGGGACTAAACATAGGCTGGGTTTCCACCCCTATGCCGTATATATCTACAGGATATATACAGTACATATATATACAACACAGTGGTAGAATCCCAGCCTATGTTTAGTCCCCCGAAGATGGAAAGGGGAAGAAGGAATGAAATGTTATAAATGTATAGGCTTGACATTTATTTATTTATTAAACTTTATTAACCACAACACTTAATGGCACAAAAGGTTTCTACGTATGAGTTTACCTTGAACCGTTTTGAAATATCCTGGTTTGCATATCGTCGGTTAAAAGGTAAAACTCATTAAGTGACATTTTGTTCAAAAACTAGATTTTTTCAATTTTGCTTTATTGGGAAGAACATCTATGACAAGAAAAATTCAGTACGTCTGTGGTGTCCTTCATGTTTTAATACATACCAGTCCTCTAGTGATTTTTCATAATGAAAAAATACAAAATCTTAATTATCTCCCTTTGGCCAATTAGGCTATTAGTGAGTTTTACCTTTTAACCGACGATATAGAATCGCGAAACGGTTATATCGTAGATGGATCGCAAAAAGACCAAAAAATGTGGGCATTGACAAGACTGCAAAACAAGAAAACTTGACTCGTCTAAACCTCGAATTGGTAGACCTTTTATTAAATTAAGTAAACGGGTCGACTAGTCAAAATATCATGACAAAAAATCACTTTTGTTTGACATGGAATATAATAAAGAAAATATTATTAAAAGATCTAATACAAATAGACAAATACACACACACACACACCTGAGCAAAAACGATACAACACAACATATGAATCACGATTTGAGGTAGTTTTGTTATGAGGTAAAGTCAGAAGCTCAAGTTCAAAGCTTAAGGCTGTTGTTTTGGTACACAATTTCTTCCTAAAGCAACGTGCTTACCTCTTTTAACTTATAACGTATCGTATATCGTAGGTACCATTCGCTCACTATCAGTACCTTGCAGCCTCTCCGGTCAATTTGCAGTATCGCGCCATACACACGTAACGATCGTGTTTAGAAATAGAAATTTTGTTTGCTTCGTAGCGGCATTGAGTTAGATTATTGATGATCCCTCCCTTTTGTGGGGAACGACTTGAAGCTTGCTGATATTTTGTACGTTTTGATTGATTTCTTTATTGGAGTCTTCAGGTTGGTCTTTCTTGGTATTATTGAATTGTGATCAATGTTTTGCTTTTAGATTTATTGTGGTGTTTATATAAGAAATGTTATCTTTACTTCTTCCTTTACTAACTGCCTCCATATGGCCGAAAGGTTACTGTCGTTCGGTCAAACTGTCCCGGTTTCGATTCCCAGACTGGGAGAAATATTTGTATGGCCTAGTGCGTGTGTGGGTGCTATGAGTGTGTGCGTTATTATTATTATTATCTGTTTTTGCTTTCTTTTTCTCAGCCCGTTGGTTGGTTACAATGATCTACTTGTTATTATTGTTCCAATATTTCCCGTGACAAAAGATTTTAATAAGAAGGAAAAAAAGCACCATTGATTGACTGTTAATTTCCTATTGTATTTGTATATAATAAATGTTCAATTTTTACCTTCATTGTTTTATAAATATTTCAATTCGTCAGCTTAAGAAGTTCGGCGAAAGCCGAAGGGATAAAATTAACAAAAAATCAAGCTGCGGAAAAACAAAATCAAATTCAACAATTGGAAAATAATTTTCATAGTATAACAGAAATAAACAAGAAGCTCCCCTGAACCTTTTCCTTTGAAATTAATTAAAGTGACCGAAACCTTGCCGTGATTAATTGATTTGGGAGGTTTTATAAGAGTTGTGTTTTACGTTTTGTGTTCTTTTACTATTTCATTCCAAGGGAGTATTCTGTTTAAATATTTTCCAATATTCAGTTACGCTACTAACCAGCAATAAATCAAGGCACAAGCAACAATTTTGAATCATCTTTACGATCTCCGTGGTCGAGTGGCTTGCATACCGGTTTTCATGCTGTCGTCATCTCGAAATCGGTTCTCAGCCGGTCAATGTAGAAAAACTAACTTTTCTATGTTGTCTCGGGTCTACGTGTTTGTAGCACGTTGTTTCCGATTTCCACAACACAAGTGCTTTAGTTACTTACTTTGGGATCAAAGCTACGTGGCCTGTTGTAAAGCACAATGATACAAAACACTTTATTTTACTAAAGTTTTATTATACAGCTTCTGCGTACTTGGATGACAAAAATCTGCAGTAGCGACTCATTTAGCACTTTCATGCTGTTTCTATCTGATATCCTAAATAAATGTCGTAAATGACAAATATGAGCTAATGTATTTTTACAAAGAGCAGTCCCTAGAATTTATTACTCAATCTTCTTAGTGGAATCTGCCTTGTGAATGAGTAGGCGTGCTTAATTAATGTGACGATTTCACGTGGAATTTGCTTATCTAAGAAAAAAGACGTTTCTGAATTTGAAACTAATAAATGTACAGAGATGTGTAAAGAAAAAAGTTAAGTAACAATTAAAAAACATTCTCAGTTTATTTACTAACATAAATAACTATTCTACTAACTACGTAGTTGATCAAATCTGTATTATTGAACGCTGGCAGTAGATTCCTACGTATTAAAAAATTCTCTAATTCACGCATAAATTCTTTTAAAAGTGGTCCATCGGGAATTTTATATGGATTATCAGCTTCTTCAGACCCTGAAATTGTTTTTTTAAATTATGATCCACAAACCGGCAAACAGACGATCTATCTAATGGAAAGTACTTCCCGCCGCGAATATTTATTTATTCTCTTTATGAATACTCAACTTAAAAAAGAACACCAGAGATGCAATTTTAATGTCAGTAGAGCCTTGTGAAAGTTTTTGTTCTGGAAGTAGTGCCACCGTACCTATTTCTGCCATTAAGTAGTAATAATTAGCATTACCGCCGCTCCTGTTTTGAAGGGTAAGAATGCTGGTGAAACGACAGGCATATGGAACTTTCTAACTTTGTGTCTCTGGGTGACAGGTGCAGCGGCAGCTCCCCTCAGACCTTCTGATGGGAAGGTGTCTTCTTTATCATCAGGCTCATGACTAGTTCGTCCCATCAAAAAAATCTGTACTGATGCCAATAAACCAGCAAAGCTTTGGATAAGGAATAGGTTTTTAAGGAACTTTGTTCATCGTTACTTTATTACTGACAAACTTTAGCTAACCGTCTTACCTTGGATGGAATAACGTTTGATTTGAAAATCAAGGGCGAAAATGGATCGTTTGGGTCATTCTTATCTAAGTAAATAAAAGTAATAGGTACTAACTCAAGAAGTATTCCAAACTCTTAAATACGTATGACAACTCTTCGCAATCAACGGAGACTGTTTTGAATCCTACTCCATCTATTAGTTTTCTTACTTCACTAACCGGGTCCTATAATAACAGAGTGAAATAATTGATTAGGCAAATGGTGATATTTTGGTGGTGAGAATTGCACATGTCATAAAGACAATTATATCTTTTTTACAATAACAAAGCGTTAAAAGAATGAAACGCCTACACTGGCGATAAACATAACGGACTGAAAAGGAATTAAAAGAGAATAAAAGTACAAAGTAATAAACCATTGATAAGTTAACATAAATGCTACAAAATTTGCAATATTTTGTGTTACAAAATGTTGTTAAAACCTTTATTGGCCATGTTTGGCAACCGCATATAATGGTACTGGTCGACGCTACGCGTTTGTCTACACTATGCTTATTTATTTGGACTTAAACAGCCCTCAATTGTAGCTATCGAGAAACATAGCTGCCAGTAGAGCACCCTATTCCATTGCCGTAGGTATTGAAAAAGAGGAAGCATTTTGTGACAAGGGGCTGTACATCTATAGTCAATGTTCCTCCTACGGGAATATTTTCTAACAGAGCAATAAATCTATTTACCTGAGAATTTTGATATTGAGTAACATATTGTATATTCGCTTTCACCCATGGCTGCCATTTCTGCGTTTTAGCTATCGCGATATAGGCTTCGTACAAGGCGCTTTTTGCAATAAACATGAGCAGACAGTCACCGTCTTCAGCTAATAAATCGTAAATATTTTGTAACGTTTGCCTGGAAAATATTGAAATGAATGTACGAAAAATATAGTATTAACACCGTAATAGACAAAACTAACAAGTTCTATAGTGGTAAACGCATAATTCCAGAAAGAAGTTACTCGGCCGTTTTTGAACTGATATGCATGAAATTTGAACCCACCATAAAACACAAAATCTTAAAGGCAATAGTGGGACCCAATTTTTTTATTTTGATCTTTGATCTGAGATAATTAATGTCAAAAGTCACTTTGTTAAATCTACGGGGAAAATATTTCATTGCAGAATGGTGCATGCACGAATAACAATTTCTAAACTACGTAACTAAAGCACTTGTGTTATGGAAATAGGAAACAGCGACGATACCACCAACACCCAGACCAACACCGAGACAATACAGAAAAGTTAGTTTCGATAAGTTAGTCTCTCTATCTATATCGAACCACTTAACACTGTGCAACAGGGTGTGTAAGCCACTCGACCACAGAGGTCTTCAAGCAAATCGATATTCAATCATATTTTTTTGTTTAACCGTGTATATTTTTTATTAAATAAAATAAGTATGCATTTGAACTGATGGAAAGTGACGACCAAATCAACGATGGAGCATGCACACCTGCATAATACCTATCCACTCTCGCCTTGAAAAGGCTCAAGTTATAGCGTTCGAAAAATAAGTCAGCAGTCATTGACTTACAATTATGTGGACGTCGGGTCCGCGCTAAAAAGTGTCCGAACTTATAGGGCGTTAAAATCGTATACAGAGCGTCATACACGCTTTAGTCTTCGTTTGTTCGAGTGACAGCGAAGCAAGCAAAATTAGACAGTACTGCGATGACATTATAATTTAAATTCAACGTTTTAGCTTTTTCATATTCCTTTACATGTCACTACGTTTAAATAGGTTGACTTGGGACATTTTTTCGTGGTTTTTGTATTAGACCCATAGTCCATTTATTTGTAAGTCAATGTCAGCAGTTGATAAATTTTCAGCACAAAACTCCACTCCATAGTCGATCGCCATATAAATGTGGAAGCGTTCGTGCAAATCTTTGGAATATCCATAACATAAGAGTGCAATATAGTATAGACTTTATTATAAGATTAAATACAACTAACTAACCTTTGATTAATAATCCAATTCAAAGCGTGACAAGAAGTTACACGATTAAATCTACCTTTCATTTTCTCAGGCAACTCATCTCCAATATTAAGCAACACAAATTTAGTTCTATTATCACAGTATTTATCGTTCGCTATATCTATCAGCTCTTCACTGGCATCACAGCCAATGAGTTCTTTATAGTTGGCGGATATAAAACTTTTCAATACATTTGTTAACCCTCCGTCTCCGCTGCCTATATCAATGATCCTGTCCCCGTCTGACCAACGGACTTTGGACGCGTGTTTTTGGTAATGGTTTCGGGCATTTGCTAGATAAAAATATTTAGTGTCTTCATATACTACGTCCGCACCTTCTTCAAAAAGTACATCCATCCTTTTGTCGATTGATTGTACACCACATGTCAATTAATATAATTTTAGGGATCTCAAAGAATCACGACACTACAGACCATTTGTAAATTCATTTTGCTTCGCTATTTTTAATTTACTGGAAATTTGGAAAAGATATTAATTTAAAAAATACGCTATTGCAACTTGCTGTTGTAGGATTGACAGTTGGTTGATATTTCCAAATCAATGTCAAAATAGTAAGATGAAAAATATTTCTTCGCTTGAAGACAAAGGAATATATATGCGTTAATTGTTGGACTTTACGTGTTACGCCTTCTTAATTTTTTTTTGGCTTCGCGCGGATAGTATTTAAGACCACTACAGTGTATACATATTTTTTAAGTTCAGTTTAAGCATTAAGCGCCCAGTTACACGAGGAAAGTTTTCGGGCTGCCGCAGCGCCCAGATACCACGCCTTCATGTACATTAATGGCGAATCTGAATTCTATTTACTAGGCAACAACATTTCAATTCCTCTGAATAATACAACCGGCGCGATCGCGCTCATCCCGCCCGGCCGCGGCCGCCGCCCGTCCGCAGTCGCCGCCGCGTAGTCCAAATTCAAGCCATGGTCGCCCGCGTGCCCGGGACGCTCATTTAAGTTAAAACGTAAAAGCTAAATAAATAGAGCGCATTTTGCCATGACAGTTCGATACACGCGGTCATGAAATGCGCCCTAATGCCTTCCAATGGCCGTACTTTTAGAAGAGTTCACACCTTTCAAATTATTTGAATAGGAGAAATGTAATCTCAGTACAGAGTACTAAAAAAACCGACCTCAAAAGTACGTGGAATTACGTCTATTTGCCAAGTTTCATTGAAATATCCCCTAGTTCGCCACTATACAGGACTTGATACTGGAGATAATAAAAATAGGTTCTCACTACGACACTACTCAAAGTATATCGAGGGAAAAACGCCTTGAATTGGAGAAATAGCAAAATCAACTAAAAAATTGCTAAAAGTAATTGCTCCTAAATTAAAGTTAGGCGCTATTTATAAAAATGAATCTTCATGCGTGAACGGCCACTCTTAGAGGTGGACGATTTCCTTCAAAATGAAATGGGACCACTAAGGAAGCACCCCCTTTCCAACACAAAAAGAATCATGAAAATCGGTTCACAAATACCGGAGTTATCGCGTAACATACATACAAAACAAAAAGAAAAAAAAAGGAAAAAGAACATACAGTCGAATTGAGAACCTCCTTCTTTTTTCAAGTCGGTTAAAAATAATAACAAACAGTAAACTGTCAAGTCATGATTTACCGTTGTTGTTTTTTTTAAATTCTTTCCATTATGGAAAAGGTTAACATCATATATTCTGGTCTTGGAATTTTTCTTTTGTTAGCTTTGGGCAGATAGTAATGGACATCTTCATAGTATTTAGATGTAGAAATGAGACTCTAGTAACTGTTGTAAATTATATTATTATAATATGTTTCCACTATAAATCCAAACAAAACATAACCACGTTCCTTCTCTTCAAAGGTGTTTTTCGTAATGGCGGCCGGCTGCCCGTCAGCCTTGGCGGCAGAAATAGGTAAGGTGGCAGTACTTCCCTGGACGAACTCTTTCACAAGGAGCTGTACTGCTAGTAAAAAACCTTTTCCAATAAATATACCTACTTTGAATTATTTTCAGAATTACAGATATATGTATAAACACTCGTGATTGCGTATTACATTATTCTTACTTTTTCTTATATCGTTCCCTTTGTTTTGAACAGATATAATTTACAAATTTGATCATATGATATGAGTTTAATTAAATTTTTATTGAATTGATATTCAATTACTTTTTGTGAAATTATTCCACTAGTTTGTTATAATTATTAATACAAAGAATACAAGAATACAAGATATTTATTCGCTGAAAAATGTAGTTTACAATGGTGTTATAGTATATTATTATTAGATCGTACATTTCACCAAAACTTGGCATGCGAATATTTTACACAATTCTTATTTCAATCACACACAGTGGTTAAATTTTACATTTTATGTTATCTATTAAAAATCATTTATATTGTAGTAGCATTGTGTAACTAACAAATTATGTAATTTTATTTTAAATTGCCTACAATTTAGTTCTTTCACTGCATCTGGTATTTTATTAAATAATTTAGGTGCCAATATAAACATCGTTCTATTGTAAAATTCCAAGGTGGGGCGTTGTTTGCAAAGATCGAACACTCAGAAAAAATTTCGAATCCGACCGGATCGAGTGTTCGATCTTTGTATTAATAATGATATGAGTTTATTGACGCCTATGAAACGTGGTGCTGGCGCCTTTCTGCGTTCCGGTTTTGAAGGGTAAGGGTGCTAGTAAAGTTAAGCGACGATGTGATAAAACCTTATTTTTAAAATACTAACAACCTCACAGAATTACATTACTTACATCATAAACAACAAATTTTGTACCTTGACTTTTTGCAAAACATAATGAATTTGTTAAAAGTAGACATTAAATTTTTATTCTAGTATTTGACACATTTTAGATTCGTATTTGGAAGTAAAGTAGTAGTAAGTTGCAGTAGAGCCCCTTGATTCGTCCAGGGAAGTACATGCATCTTACCTATTTCTGCCACCAAGAAGTAATGTCAGCATTAATGTGTTCCGGTTTTGAAGGATAAGGTTGCTGATGAAATTGCAGACATATGGAACTTGTCAACTTAAGTTTCAGAGAAACGGGCAGAGAGTGCACGTCCTATAGGACGTGGGATCGTATGCTGCTCTTGCGCTTTGTATCAGCTTTCTTTTGTTACCACACAGAGTTATCGCTTAGAGCGATCAATTTAAATATTTTTATTTTTGTATGAATGTAAAATCTGATCCATTATGGAACAAAAGTAGTTGTGTATGATGTTTTAAAATAACCCCGTATAAAATTGTTTGCAGAGGAAATATGTTTCGTTAAGCGTAAAATTCTCATGTCGATCTGGAAAATAATATTATTTTAGGCTTAAAAGAGATAATAGGCAATGATAAAAGGAAAGCGATGGTGCAATTTGCGAATGAAAATATAAAGATGAAAAAGAGCATTTCGTGTTAATGGACAAGGAGAAAGATTAACTGGAGACTATGAAATATGTGTTCAATCACGTTCTTTCGTTTACTGTCCTTAACTGGATAGCTAATCTAGAGTAAGTGCCGTCATTATTTTGGTTAATGTTTTGATAGATAAGTAAATATATTCTATACGTGGGGATTTCTTTCCGACGCCCTCCGACCCGGATCGATGGAGGTAACCGGAATGGGCGTTTAAGTGCGTGCAAAATTGGACATAAATGTATGTCGATAGAGTACAATTTACCGCTAATAGTCATTATATCATACAGAACATTGTTGTTTTTGTTATGATATCAAGTGCTGAGATAAACAAATCGCGGGTGGTAAAGCCTTACACTGGTACTGCCACTGCGCCCGTTATCCTGAGACATATCTGCCTGGTCTATACGCAATAGAATAGAATAGAATAGAAAATAATTTTTTGGACGAAGGCAAAAATACCGAAAAAAAAGAGAAAAACAGAGTTAAAATTAGGCCTGCTAAAAAGCGATCAATCATAGTATGCTATCGAATGGGTCACCACCTCAGCATATGCGGGACAACCTTGGTCGATGTTGCGACGTCGACGCTCCAAAGTCGGGATTGTCCAGTGACGGACAAGTGTGTCTCATATAAGTATTGAAAACGTGGTCAGGATTCCTGGGATCATAAAAATGGTAACTTGGAATCGTACTAAGCCAAGCCACAAACATGTTGAGCGTTTCACTTCCACTCGGACAGCCGACGCGAAACTCAAAATGTTTTCTTTGCTCTTGTTAGTAGCAGTAGAGCTCCATGTGAAAGAGTTTGTCCAGGGAAGTACTGCCACGTTACCTGTTTCTGCGGTCATGAGCATTACTGCAATCCGGTTGTGAAGTTAAAGGTGCTGGTGAAATTTCAGGCACAAGTGACTTGTCAAAGTATGTCTCAGGGTGACGGGCGCACTGGCAGTGCCCATCAGATCTTTGTAATTTAAAGTACTGAATGGTACTGCAACTGTTTGTCGCTTTCCATCAGACGCACGTCTTGTCCGTCCCGTCACTTAGTTATTATAAAAAGAATTACATTTGCATGAAGCCGATTTGACCGGCTTCATGTAATTTCATAATAAGCCATTCCTCTCCTCCTCCTGTCCTCTGTTGCACAAATCAGTAGCCTTAGAGAGCGCCTTGGCTGTAGTATTTTGACTGCTTGGTTGGGTATGTGGGAACGTTAGCAAGAGCGGAGCAACAGGAAACAATATACCTAATTGCCTCTCCTGAACGACCACATGCCCGATATATGTTATTATTATTCTTGCAATGCTATTACAGTACATAAGTCAAAGATTATTTATTCCATAGGTAAAATAAATTTACACTTCAAAACATCACATTTAAGCTACTGCTCGTTCACTACGCTGACCTCCCTGAGAAGAACGAGCAAGAAACTCTAGGGATTGCTCTTTTCAAATAAACTTAAATGCTGGAATACACTTTGAATCAAATTTGTGTGGATTCTGGAGCCATGTCGTCTTTCCATACATCTTTATCTAATACGTAGTTTTCAATTTTGTAATATGATTTTTCGATCAAAATATTTTTAATGTAGTTTTTAAACTTAGGAAATGATAAACTTAATATATGCTCCGGAATCTTATTGTAAAAACGTATACAGTTCCCCATAAAAGAGTTGTTTACCTCGGTTAAACGAAATCGTGGTACCATGAGTTTGGACTTAGTTCTAAGGTTAATATTATGAATATCTTCTTTCTTATTGAAATTATGTATATTTTTTACATACAACTTATGATAATAAAATATAAATTAGAGACTACTATTGTGTGTATTGATGTACACAACAGGTAAACAACACAAGTTGTGCTGATAATACATTATCAAAATATATTGTGTTTATGTACTTCTAACTAAGGAGAGAGACTGAGGTCATAGTC